CGCCGTATCCACCGCCGCCGCCGTAGTAGCCCGGGCTGTAGCCGCCCCAGGACCCGAATTTGTTGTGCAGAATGTTGTCCAGCCCCAATCCGAAAACTGTGAACAAGAAAGGAAGTGGTAACAATGCCACCTGTAATACCGACTCTCCGAAATGCTGGAAGTGAATGAAAGAATCCGTTGCTAAGAGACCGTATAGGTAGGAGGAATGAAGCTGCAAATAAATCTGTTTACGAAATTTTGCGATGTTTGATTGGCCCTCTTGCAGACAGCCTCGGCCGTCCCGAGTATAGTTCGTGGAACTTCGTTGCACTTTGATGGTCCTGTAGTTCGAACCTAACATCGCCAGTCACGTAAGAGTCAGGAGACCCACCAAATTAATTTTCGGCTCTTATGGGCTCACCTGTTACTGTCTAACAAGAGACTGAGATTGCAGTTCAAATGCTGATCAACTTCAATGCATTCGCCGATGAAAGAACTCGACGTCAATATCAACTTATGCACGTGTGTTAAGTCAGTTAGACCTGGATATCGTGCGGCCGTCTGTCCGCCAGCACAAGGAAAATATAAATCTATTTTAAGGTGTTATATAAACAGATGCTGAGATCTGATACAAACAAATGCTCGTTGCAGAAATCAGGTCGCGAATTGCTCGCCGGAGGAATGGGACAACTCACTTCTGCCGCTGGCCTCGGGACTCAGGTCTTCCTTGGTGGCGTCGTCGGTCGTCTCAGCTGATGCCTTGTCCTCAGCAACGGTAAGTGCCAGAGCACTAACCAATAGGATAATAACGCGCATCTAAACAAGAGAGTAGTGTAGTCATAATTAATGTCTAGTGCTTGGTTGCTGGAGAAGCTGTTCGCCTGTGAGCTTTGTTTCCATTCTACCAATTGGAGTCGCTTCGAATCTGGGATTGACCTGTCGTATGGACCAGAAGGTCACCTCCTGAATTTCTTTGACCTTTTTATTCGCTTCAGATGCAAATCAGTCTTGCAGCTGAAATGCCAAAGACCACAGGACACCCGCGCAAATAGACACTTCGCTGCTGGCCGAGACTTCAGTTAGTTAATTAGGTTGTTAAGTGAAGCGCCTCTTGAAGGAAGATCGCTGCTTAGTCTCAGACAGACCCGAGATCTAAGCGGTTTTCTGAATGGGGCACTGCCGAAGTTTAGAATATAAGAAGCGACCAACATAAAGTCTTATAATTTTCCTGTCAGATCTCATGAACAACAAACAGATTCGTATTTTTCGTTTAAATAGGCCACAGCGTCTTCAATGGGACAGCGAGCCCTCTAGTTTCCCATGTTCCTCTGCATTATTTTTAAAAAAAGAAGGTGCGTACGGACGGACAGACTTACTGAAGCATAGGTCAGTGTTGTGCTCAGTGATCCGTCTTAGTCATCAGCAAGTAGGCGGTTCACACACAGCTCAGCTTAAGCTTTCTCTTTACGTCGAAAGCGACATATTAATTTTATTTATACGTCAGACTGATATCAAGGCCAGTCTGTTATAAGAATCTAAAGCAACGCGTCGTAGTAAACATAACGTTTTTTCCACTGTAGTCAATTTTTCTAATACGTAAATATATAACAAATAACTCTACATTGATTAGTACAAAATGTGAGCTAATAAACTTATAAGTGGCTTTTACTTCGCAGGGGGTTTATCCTATGTGAACGTAATCCGTCGAACAAAGTCCTTCTTGAGGTGCTGATTGGTCAAGAAATTTCCCACAAATTCGTTGCCGAATTCAGAACACCTTACTCTGTAGTCTGTTTAAAATCCGTCTTCCAATTCATCCTTCAAGATTTGTCTGCCCCTCCCAATCGGTCTCCTTCCTTCACGTTTTCGCGACAAAATTTTTTAAGTATGTCTCGTTTCTTTACCCCTTCTACATGCTCCCCTGATCATTGGACCTATGTTTTGTTTACGTAAGAAGTAGCTGAAAACGGCGAAACTGCATCAGTCAGCAATTTTTAGGCATTGAAGCTGTGCTGAGATGTATTTTTCTCTTCTACCCCCTGTATAAGTCAGACGTCCAGTCACTCACACACACACACACACACAGTGGTTCACTCAAGGAGCCACTGTCAGTGGTGGTCGCCCACAGAACCACCGGTCCAGCCAATAGCACTCAATCCTACCTCCCAGTGTGCTCCCATGATCCGTCTCGTCGTAAAACTGCGATGGGCTTCTGAGCGCCCGTTCGTTTTATACACGCGAGGATCCCCCCTTGTCACATGTCGTAATAATTACATACTCGTATTTTGTACAGCGTTTGAAAGAGAGACAATTTCAAGACCATGTCTATGGGAAAGAAACTAGATAACAAAAGAAAATAATTATCATTTCCGGCCATGCCTTTTCACTTTCTAAGCATACTTCCAGTGTCAACATCTTGCTTAAAGAGCAGTTTGAAAAGCGTAACGGTGGAATTGCCCGTGTTTTCGGTTCACATCGCATCCCCGCCCCGCCCCGCGCCCAGAAGTCGGTCAAGGCTGTGAGAAGCCTTCGGAGACAAAAGCAGCAGCTGTCACACTCGCATGGACACAAAAATTAAATTTTAGTGAGAAACATAACTTAACGCGTGTCTGTCTGTCTTCTCGTTTCTCAAGTCGTTCAAAACGATTTCGAACACGAATTCTGCCTTTCGTCTAAACAGAACAGGATGTTAATTAGTGGAACTCTACGGATAGTTTGATTCGTTAGTCATTTAAAGGCGCTTTTTCAACTTCTTAGGTTAAGTGGTGGGAAATGCGGATTGTGAGATGCGTGTGTCACAGGTTCGACCCCCATTGCCGGTATGTTTGTTAGCAGTGAAGAATCTTTGGGTCGGACGGCGTTCGTGAGTTAGTGTAAACAGAGGAGTGCTGGTCTGTAATTACAGGGAAAAAGACTTCTGGACATCATCCATCGTACTAATTTTAATTTTAATTTTAATTTAATTTTTTCTTTTTGGAGACGTGTTAAAGGGTCTGAGTCGGTGTTCATGAAACACGAGACGCCGATAACGTAACAGATATCTTTGCTGCCTTCGAATTGTGAAACAATGGTGTCCAGCCTTGTGCTCTTAGGGGTACACCTTGAACACACTTCCTGTGATACGGCGATTCTGTCATCATACTTTGCGGGAACGGAAATTCAAAGGCACGATAACACGAAACCTTCTTATGACAGACAGACACAAGGGGAGGCAAACTACAACCGGGACTGATTCTTAGATTCTGATGTGATTTCTTCACAAAGGAAATTAATTCTGTTGACAGTCGTGAAGAGCGTTGACTCTTTGAAGTTTTCGTGGCAGCATCGAGCGTCTTGGTCTGTATACGGCATCGGACGCGTTGAATTTTCCCGCACACTTAGACACAATATGGCTGTCTGTAATTATATAGTCTAAGAATCACATCGGAGTGTTGCGCTGCAGAATTGCCTTCGAACTTACTTTGCTTTGCTTTGCGCGCATTGAAACATTCAACAGACCTGTCATTATGATTCTTTACGCCGATGTATGGTGCACTGAGTCAAATATAATATTAGACACAGTATTTAGATTCCTTATAAGCTGTGCTGGTATTTTCAGTAAAGCGAAACAGATTTCTCTGTGTATTACACGTGCCACTTTGCAGTCCACTGACCACACCTCCGCTCTGAGTCGTACTTTTTCCCACATGTCTGTCGATAATCTGCCCCTGAAATAGCTGGTTATTAGGCTATCTGTTCAACGCGAGCTTTTGTTTTTGGTATCCAAATCCCTTCGTCTTGTGCATGTATTGCACGATGCTTGAACGTTGTGGAACAATTTCATTATCTTTGGCTGGTCGCCCACAGAAGGCAATTTTTTTGCGATCCGAACGTCCACAAGTAGATTTGGTTTAGTCGATTCTTGTTCAACTGCTGTCGTTATATAGAGCCCATGGAAAAATTACTATGAATGATGAATTGAACAGGATGTGGAAGGTACATCCTAGGATTTACGTGAAGTAAACCCTCGAATAACTTCTATCATTGGAGCCCGTATACACACCCTGGTGTTGACACAAAAGTTCGGTGACGAAAAAACTTTCGTAACAGATAAGTGTTTTCCCCCTCACCTACAGGAGTAAACGTCGAAATACGACAGAGTAAACTATGTCTTCCAGTCATCAGCTCCGTCAGAACACGCCCCAGGAACGACGCAACACCTTGAAAGCAAAGTTCGGAGGCTTCAAACCAATTATACGTACATTTAAATGATTTTTGTACACAAGTTTGTAACATGTAAGTGATCATCAGACCTTATTTGTGGAATTTAAATTCACATTTACCGAAATGTTGTGATGCATATGTTATTTCCTAACACATTCTATAGTAAAGTTGAAATTTCACTTGCCTGTTCAACAAGACGTCTCCACTTTTACAGTTTTCTAAAATTAAAATTAAGTCATAGGCCATATCGCTTATGCATATTCTCCAACTCTTAACATATTAGGCGCAGGCTGCAGTAACATTTAAACTTAGGCCGAAACGGCGTACACACGAGTTTACCAGTTATCTCTGTTCAAAAGCATTTTCTTTGTATCTGGTGGAATCCGCTGCCCAAGATGCAAATGTCACATGTTAATCTAGCTGTTCCTTGTCTCTGCAAATCCTGTGCACGCAAATCTTTGCTCTCACGGACTTCAGCTTCCCATGTAGCACATTAAGCTCACCATGCCACTGTTAATGTTAATTTTTGCTTCCCACGCTCTGAGGAAAGACCAGGCAAGGCGAATGAAATGGTAGTGGACTGTAAATTATGCCTTCTGTCAGGAGGTCATGGATTTTTCTCATGGATTACTTTGGATTTTTAGTACTTCCTTGTTCCGTCCATTCGCGAGTATTACTTCGGCTGTGTTCGGTGTCGTACTCCTGGCGCCATAAAATGCGCACACAATTTTGGTTGGGAAATCTGAAAGAATCGGATCACTTAGGAGACATACTCGTGACAGGAAGGATTATATTAAAATTTATTTTAAAATTGGTCGTCAGGGTGTGGAGTTGATTCACTTGGCTCTGGATGATTTCTTGAGAATATTTTGGGGAGGGCTATTTCTATTTTGTTTTTCTTTCTTCGTTTTTATTAGGAATGTTTCGTGACGTCAGTTTGTGTAATATTTAGACAAAGTATTCTGAGTTTGTCTTTGTGTCCAGTGCCTCCCTCAGGATCAATTGTGGCACATAGAACGTAATAGATGTACATAATAGGCTATGAAACAATCAGGCAAATATTATAAGAAGGCTACAGAATATTTATTAAATTAGTCGTCATAACTAAATACGTACATTTGTTCATAAGTGTTGCAAAAGTGTTTGTTCCCAATTTGATGCCTTATTACCGCACAGTAAATGGCAAACTCTGACAGCATAAAATGATCAAATCGGCAGCGTACTAAACCACGACGAATGAAAATATTTTCTGCACTGTAATTATAAATATGATCTTACAAAATGTATTTTAAAATATAAAAAGAATAGAATTTGAAACCAATAATGTTTCTACATGATCCATACTTCAAGAGTATGAAGTATAACTTCTTGTGTAAATGTTTGTTTCAAAAACTGAAATTTGTTGTCATCAGCGTGAATACAAAGGGGAGGATTAGGGCATGTGATGCTATGACATTATTTGGCCGATATATGATCATTAGAAGTACCCTCGCTTTTACCATACTTCTAAAACATCTAATATTTGTGGAGGAGGCCAGTATTTTTCACATATCTCCGTTCTTCTGCATGGAGAGCTAAGAAGTATTATTAAAAACACAAAAATGTGCCACTTAATTAAAAACAAATTAGACTTGCAATTTAACATAATGAGTACTCTGTTTGTTTGTGAGTTCGAAAATTACAGATTACCATACACGAGTCCAAAAATGTCACGCAGTTGTCTTCGTTTTAAAGTAAACGGTTTAAAAGCCACAAGAATATCATTTACGAACTGTACATTTATACTTACATAAATAGAATCATTCGTACTCCAACCAGACACCCTAACCCACCCAGAATTACGTAATGAAGCCAGTGGCGCGCCCAAATTACTCTGCGCCATCAGATTTCAACGTGTGCCTCGACCGAGAACCATAGCCCGACCTCCGGCGATGTGGAGATTTAATAATGGAGCCATAAGGCAGGTTGGCTTGCAGCAAAACCTGAGAGAAGCTGTCAGAGCTTGTCACGACAGGCAGGTTCTTGGAATACCTTGTTATAGTATTGCTTCCCCCACACTGAGAACAAGGATAAGGAACAGGCACTGCTGACGGGAAAATTGGCTGCAACGCCTGCGGATTAGAATTGTTGCCAGCACAGTAAGGATAGAAAATGACGGGAATTAAACCGATGACACCAAAAGCAGGAGCGAAGGAACCTCCACTTGCTGGAGGCGTTGAAGTAATTGCAGTCGAGTTAGTCTCGCTAGGAGAAACGAGATAGCAGGGGCAGGATCCTGGACTAGGGACAATAGGCAGAGGGTAAGGAACAACATAAACCTAACAGATAAGTGTTTTCCCCCTCACCTACAGGAGTAAACGTCGAAATACGACAGAGTAAACTATGTCTTCCAGTCATCAGCTCCGTCAGAACACGCCCCAGGAACGACGCAACACCTTGAAAGCAAAGTTCGGAGGCTTCAAACCAATTATACGTACATTTAAATGATTTTTGTACACAAGTTTGTAACATGTAAGTGATCATCAGACCTTATTTGTGGAATTTAAATTCACATTTACCGAAATGTTGTGATGCATATGTTATTTCCTAACACATTCTATAGTAAAGTTGAAATTTCACTTGCCTGTTCAACAAGACGTCTCCACTTTTACAGTTTTCTAAAATTAAAATTAAGTCATAGGCCATATCGCTTATGCATATTCTCCAACTCTTAACATATTAGGCGCAGGCTGCAGTAACATTTAAACTTAGGCCGAAACGGCGTACACACGAGTTTACCAGTTATCTCTGTTCAAAAGCATTTTCTTTGTATCTGGTGGAATCCGCTGCCCAAGATGCAAATGTCACATGTTAATCTAGCTGTTCCTTGTCTCTGCAAATCCTGTGCACGCAAATCTTTGCTCTCACGGACTTCAGCTTCCCATGTAGCACATTAAGCTCACCATGCCACTGTTAATGTTAATTTTTGCTTCCCACGCTCTGAGGAAAGACCAGGCAAGGCGAATGAAATGGTAGTGGACTGTAAATTATGCCTTCTGTCAGGAGGTCATGGATTTTTCTCATGGATTACTTTGGATTTTTAGTACTTCCTTGTTCCGTCCATTCGCGAGTATTACTTCGGCTGTGTTCGGTGTCGTACTCCTGGCGCCATAAAATGCGCACACAATTTTGGTTGGGAAATCTGAAAGAATCGGATCACTTAGGAGACATACTCGTGACAGGAAGGATTATATTAAAATTTATTTTAAAATTGGTCGTCAGGGTGTGGAGTTGATTCACTTGGCTCTGGATGATTTCTTGAGAATATTTTGGGGAGGGCTATTTCTATTTTGTTTTTCTTTCTTCGTTTTTATTAGGAATGTTTCGTGACGTCAGTTTGTGTAATATTTAGACAAAGTATTCTGAGTTTGTCTTTGTGTCCAGTGCCTCCCTCAGGATCAATTGTGGCACATAGAACGTAATAGATGTACATAATAGGCTATGAAACAATCAGGCAAATATTATAAGAAGGCTACAGAATATTTATTAAATTAGTCGTCATAACTAAATACGTACATTTGTTCATAAGTGTTGCAAAAGTGTTTGTTCCCAATTTGATGCCTTATTACCGCACAGTAAATGGCAAACTCTGACAGCATAAAATGATCAAATCGGCAGCGTACTAAACCACGACGAATGAAAATATTTTCTGCACTGTAATTATAAATATGATCTTACAAAATGTATTTTAAAATATAAAAAGAATAGAATTTGAAACCAATAATGTTTCTACATGATCCATACTTCAAGAGTATGAAGTATAACTTCTTGTGTAAATGTTTGTTTCAAAAACTGAAATTTGTTGTCATCAGCGTGAATACAAAGGGGAGGATTAGGGCATGTGATGCTATGACATTATTTGGCCGATATATGATCATTAGAAGTACCCTCGCTTTTACCATACTTCTAAAACATCTAATATTTGTGGAGGAGGCCAGTATTTTTCACATATCTCCGTTCTTCTGCATGGAGAGCTAAGAAGTATTATTAAAAACACAAAAATGTGCCACTTAATTAAAAACAAATTAGACTTGCAATTTAACATAATGAGTACTCTGTTTGTTTGTGAGTTCGAAAATTACAGATTACCATACACGAGTCCAAAAATGTCACGCAGTTGTCTTCGTTTTAAAGTAAACGGTTTAAAAGCCACAAGAATATCATTTACGAACTGTACATTTATACTTACATAAATAGAATCATTCGTACTCCAACCAGACACCCTAACCCACCCAGAATTACGTAATGAAGCCAGTGGCGCGCCCAAATTACTCTGCGCCATCAGATTTCAACGTGTGCCTCGACCGAGAACCATAGCCCGACCTCCGGCGATGTGGAGATTTAATAATGGAGCCATAAGGCAGGTTGGCTTGCAGCAAAACCTGAGAGAAGCTGTCAGAGCTTGTCACGACAGGCAGGTTCTTGGAATACCTTGTTATAGTATTGCTTCCCCCACACTGAGAACAAGGATAAGGAACAGGCACTGCTGACGGGAAAATTGGCTGCAACGCCTGCGGATTAGAATTGTTGCCAGCACAGTAAGGATAGAAAATGACGGGAATTAAACCGATGACACCAAAAGCAGGAGCGAAGGAACCTCCACTTGCTGGAGGCGTTGAAGTAATTGCAGTCGAGTTAGTCTCGCTAGGAGAAACGAGATAGCAGGGGCAGGATCCTGGACTAGGGACAATAGGCAGAGGGTAAGGAACAACATAAACCGGTTGTCCGGGCTGTCCTGGATGTCCTGCTTGACCGGGTTGTCCTGGTTTTCCTGGATACCCTGCTTCCCCAGGTTGTCCGGGCTGTTCTGGTTGTCCTGCTTGACCGGGTTGTCCTGGCTGTCCTGATTGTCCTGGATATCCTGCCTCCCCAGGTTGTCCGGGATGTCCTGGATGTCCTGCTTGACCAGGTTGTCCGGGCTGTCCTGGATATCCTGCTTGTCCGGGCTGTCCTGGTTTTCCTGGATATCCTGCTTCCCCAGGTTGTAGGGGCTGTCCTGGTTGTCCGGGTTGTCCTGGATGACCTGCTTGACCGGGTTGTCCTGGTTTTCCTTGTCCGGGTTGTCCTGGATACCCTGGTTGTCCGGGTTGTCCTGGATATCCTGCTTGTCCGGGCTGTCCTGGTTTTCCTGGATATCCTGCTTCCCCAGGTTGTCCGGGCTGTCCTGGATGTCCTGCTTGACCAGGTTGTCCTGGATACCCTGGTTGTCCGGGCTGGCCTGGATGTCCTGCTTGACCGGGCTGTCCTGGATATCCTGCTTGACCAGGTTTTCCTGGATGTCCTGCTTGTCCTGGTTTACCTGGATATCCTCCTTGACCAGGTTGTCCGGGTTGTCCTGGATGTCCTACTTGACCGGGTTGTCCTGGCTGTCCTGGATGTCCTGCTTGACCGGGTTGTCCTGGATGTCCTGCCTCCCCAGGTTGTCCGGGCTGGCCTGGATGTCCTGCTTGACCGGGCTGTCCTGGATATCCTGCTTGACCAGGTTTTCCTGGATGTCCTGCTTGTCCTGGTTTACCTGGATATCCTCCTTGACCAGGTTGTCCGGGTTGTCCTGGATGTCCTACTTGACCGGGTTGTCCTGGCTGTCCTGGATGTCCTGCTTGACCGGGTTGTCCTGGATGTCCTGCCTCCCCAGGTTGTCCGGGCTGGCCTGGATGTCCTGGATACCCTGGTTGTCCGGGTTGTCCTGGATATCCTGCTTCCCCAGGTTGTAGGGGCTGTCCTGGTTGTCCAGGTTGTCCGGGTTGTCCTGGATACCCTGGTTGTCCGGTTTGTCCTGGATGTCCTGCTTGGCCAGGTTGTCCGGGCTGTCCTGGATGACCTGCTTGACCTGGTTGTCCTGGATACCCTGGTTGACCAGGTTGTCCGGGCTGTCCTGGTTGTCCTGGATATCCTGCTTGACCAGGTTGTCCGGGTTGTCCTGGATGTCCTGCTTGACCAGGTTGTCCGTGCTGTCCGGGTTGTCCTGGATACCCTGGTTGTCCGGTTTGTCCTGGATGTCCTGCTTGACCAGGTTGTCCGGGCTGTCCTGGATATCCTGCTTGTCCGGGCTGTCCTGGTTTTCCTGGATATCCTGCTTCCCCAGGTTGTAGGGGCTGTCCTGGTTGTCCGGGTTGTCCTGGATACCCTGGTTGTCCGGGCTGTCCTGGTTGTCCTGGATATCCTGCTTCCCCAGGTTGTCCGGGCTGTCCTGGATATCCTGCTTGTCCGGGCTGTCCTGGTTTTCCTGGATATCCTGCTTCCCCAGGTTGTAGGGGCTGTCCTGGTTGTCCGGGTTGTCCTGGATACCCTGGTTGTCCGGGCTGTCCTGGTTGTCCTGGATATCCTGCTTCCCCAGGTTGTCCGGGCTGTCCTGGATGTCCTGCTTGACCAGGTTGTCCTGGATGTCCTGCATCCCCAGGTTGTCCGGGCTGGCCTGGATGTCCTGGATACCCTGGTTGTCCTGGATATCCTGCTTGGCCAGGTTGTCCGGGCTGTCCTGGATATCCTGCTTGGCCAGGTTGTCCGGGCTGTCCTGGATATCCTGCTTGGCCAGGTTGTCCGGGCTGTCCTGGATATCCTGCTTGGCCAGGTTGTCCGGGCTGTCCTGGATATCCTGCTTGGCCAGGTTGTCCGGGCTGTCCTGGATATCCTGCTTGGCCAGGTTGTCCGGGCTGTCCTGGATATCCTGCTTGGCCAGGTTGTCCGGGCTGTCCTGGATATCCTGCTTGGCCAGGTTGTCCGGGCTGTCCTGGATATCCTGCTTGGCCAGGTTGTCCGGGCTGTCCTGGATATCCTGCTTGGCCAGGTTGTCCGGGCTGTCCTGGATATCCTGCTTGGCCAGGTTGTCCGGGCTGTCCTGGATATCCTGCTTGGCCAGGTTGTCCGGGCTGTCCTGGATATCCTGCTTGGCCAGGTTGTCCGGGCTGTCCTGGATATCCTGCTTGGCCAGGTTGTCCGGGCTGTCCTGGATATCCTGCTTGGCCAGGTTGTCCGGGCTGTCCTGGATATCCTGCTTGGCCAGGTTGTCCGGGCTGTCCTGGATATCCTGCTTGGCCAGGTTGTCCGGGCTGTCCTGGATATCCTGCTTGGCCAGGTTGTCCGGGCTGTCCTGGATATCCTGCTTGGCCAGGTTGTCCGGGCTGTCCTGGATATCCTGCTTGGCCAGGTTGTCCGGGCTGTCCTGGATATCCTGCTTGGCCAGGTTGTCCGGGCTGTCCTGGATATCCTGCTTGGCCAGGTTGTCCGGGCTGTCCTGGATATCCTGCTTGGCCAGGTTGTCCGGGCTGTCCTGGATATCCTGCTTGGCCAGGTTGTCCGGGCTGTCCTGGATATCCTGCTTGGCCAGGTTGTCCGGGCTGTCCTGGATATCCTGCTTGGCCAGGTTGTCCGGGCTGTCCTGGATATCCTGCTTGGCCAGGTTGTCCGGGCTGTCCTGGATATCCTGCTTGGCCAGGTTGTCCGGGCTGTCCTGGATATCCTGCTTGGCCAGGTTGTCCGGGCTGTCCTGGATATCCTGCTTGGCCAGGTTGTCCGGGCTGTCCTGGATATCCTGCTTGGCCAGGTTGTCCGGGCTGTCCTGGATATCCTGCTTGGCCAGGTTGTCCGGGCTGTCCTGGATATCCTGCTTGGCCAGGTTGTCCGGGCTGTCCTGGATATCCTGCTTGGCCAGGTTGTCCGGGCTGTCCTGGATATCCTGCTTGGCCAGGTTGTCCGGGCTGTCCTGGATATCCTGCTTGGCCAGGTTGTCCGGGCTGTCCTGGATATCCTGCTTGTCCGGGCTGTCCTGGTTTTCCTGGATATCCTACTTCCCCAGGTTGTCCGGACTGACCTGGTTGTCCTGGATATCCTGCTTGCCCGGGCTGTCCTGGATGTCCTGCTTGACCGGGCTGTCCTGGTTGTCCGGGTTGTCCTGGAAACCCTGGTTGTCCGGGTTGTCCTGGATATCCTGCTTGCCCGGGCTGTCCAGCTGAAAGATTATTGTAAATTTTAGTGTGCGATAGAACATACTTTTCCGTTATGTCCAAATATGCGTCGTGGTCTGTTATTACTTATATCAAGAAATAAATAAAACGGAATTGTTATTTCCCGCTAGTGAATACTCACAAGAAATTGAGCTTATTAGTACTTCATTCGTGAATTGTGGGAGCTACAATAAAATTGACTGTTCTAGCTGTTTACATTTGCTGATGCTTTACCGGAGAGGTTATTGACACAAGACCGAAGAACACCTTTCACTCATATTTGCACATGGTGGCATATCCCGACGCTGGTAATATCGTAGTTACATATGAGAAATAATAATAGGAAAGTTTGTTATTTTCTGGAACCTCCTGTGCTTAAGAGAAGCTGCATGAGGATTGAGAAACAACGAACTCTAGATGGCAGCAGTGCCATAACTGTGTTCAGTTGTAACTTACGTGGTTGTGCAAATTGTGTTTTTTTTATCGATTTTGATAAATAAAAATATCGGATTATACGGCACAGTAATATTCTCTCTCTGCATGTTGACAATATTACTACTTACATCTTAGACATCTCACAGCCAAACTATTCATGCTCAGACTAATCCAAAAATCGCCAGTCATTGTAATGTATGTTGATCTTTGTGAGAATAATGGGATAAACCATGGAATTTTGCCTCTATGGCCTCAAGTGTACCTGGCGCTCCTGGTCTTAAGGGATGTCCTCCGGGAATTGTAGCTCCCGGATATCCGCCAGGGTAGGCAACACCTGGTGTGCCCGGTGTGCCATCACCTCCTGGTGTTCCCGGTGTACCTGGACCTCCTGGTGTTCCCGGTGTGCCTGGGCCTCCTGGTGTTCCTGGACCTCCCGGTGTGCCTGGACCTCCCGGTGTGCCTGAACCTCCCGGTGTGCCTGGACCTCCAGGTGTTCCCGGTGTGCCTGGACCTCCAGGTGTTCCTGGTGTGCCTGGACCTCCTGGTGTTCCCGGTGTGCCTGGGCCTCCTGGTGTTCCTGGACCTCCTGATGTGCCAGGTGTCCCTGACGGAGCGGAAATATTGTCGAATGCTGGCATTCTTATCTAATCAGACCTTGGTAATAATTTTAATTTCTTCTTAATTTAGATAAATTGTGTCACTTCTTTATTATGTCATGCACGAGATGCGAATTATATAATATATGATCAGCGGTCTGTCAACACAATACCTTAACTCGTAAAGAGAAATCACGCAACGAAAAACCCAATGGCATGCGTATATGAAGCAGTTACTACTAGGATTATAGCATATCAGGACCGAGTGTCGGGTATCCGCGGGGTGTACAAATAGCAAATTTCACTACAGACTTTTGAATGTTGGAGAGTACTCCTCGCAAGCATGACATGTACTCAGCTTGTAATATAATTTCCAGCCCGCCACTAAACTTTATGTTGAACCAGATCAATCCAGTAAACACCCTGATTCCCAGTCTTTAAGAACCATCTTATAATGATTCTGCCATCTACATCTAGGTCTGCCAAATTCTTCCTTTTCTCCAGCTGTCGTTTCTTACGTGCGTGCAGTTTGTTATTCAACAGCTGGATCAGCTGTCAGCACGCGGCTTACTGTCAAAGTAAGTTGTCTTTTGTAGCAGCATTTTTACGACGAACCACCGTCCCCCGCCCTTCTAAACTGCAACTATTCTTGATATAGGCTGTAACACTAATTTGTCTTCGTTTCTTTATTAATCATAATCGAAATACGCTGTTGGTGCCTTACATCGCATTTGCCAATTTTCCTGAAATCCACTTCTTAGCCACATTTTCCTTCGTATTCCCTGAATTTAACAATTTGAGAACATGTGACAGTATAGATTATATTTAAATAACATTCGCCATTAAATTATCTTTGTATCGAAACGGACATGCTGACTTCGTTTATTAGTCTTTATTTTTACGGGTCATTAAAATGTTTCGGACGTTTATTCTCTGTTTGCTCGACCACGCGCGCACGCAACAGAATTGATTATTTTGTCTTGTTACATTTGCTTGGCAAAAGTAATGTCTGTGGTGACACATAACATTTCACTTTGCGGTGATCATTGCCGATTGTTAAAGGTCGAATAATAGACAAATAGCTTACCTGGTGTTCCCGGTGATCCGGGTCCAACGGGGTAACCCCCACTTCCTGGTTTTCCTGGCTGTCCACCTGATCCTGGATAGCCTCCAGAGCCTGGGTAACCCGGGGTTCCAGGAGTTCCTGGTGATCCGGGAGAGCCTGGATATCCTCCACTACCTGGTTGTCCTGGCTGTCCGCCTGATCCTGGATAACCTCCAGAGCCTGGGGAACCCGGAGTTCCTGGCGATCCGGGAGAGCCTGGATATCCTCCACTACCTGGTTGTCCTGGCTGTCCGCCTGATCCTGGATAACCTCCAGAGCCTGGGGAACCCGGAGTTCCTGGCGATCCGGGAGAGCCTGGATATCCTCCACTACCTGGTTGTCCTGGCTGTCCGCCTGATCCTGGATAACCTCCAGAGCCTGGGGAACCCGGAGAACCTGGAGATCCGCCTGCACCGGGTCCACCAATGATACCGCCGGGTCCGCTAGCCGCCCCTATCCCTGGGCCAGGACCGCCACAGCCCTTAGGGAAGTACAGTTCCTTCCACGGGGTCACAACTCCGTGGTGATGGTGACGATGCGAGGCGTCCCTGCGGCACACGACACATACAGTAACACGGAGTTCTTTCGAGTACTGTCAGTGAACAGACTTGTATTCAGAGTGATGCTTAATACGCTTCCGTGGAAACCTACTAAGTCTTGTGCTACTTGTAGTTGATTTTATGGTTAAAGTGTGGAAACCTTCGGTCTCATCGTGCCAGCGGCACAGACAGTGTAATTTGTAGGCTACGTTCATTTAATTAAATTGCTTCACGATAGCGTGTTTAAATCGATACCCGTCTCTTTATCGCATCTGAAACAAGATTTCAATTTTAAGAGTCGCTTAAATTTCAGATCCTGAGTGCTACGATCTGCTTCCGCGATACGTATTGTAGTATTCTCCTGTATTCTTTAGGTCTTCATGGCCAGATACCAAATTCGTCTCTCTTTGTGTGGTCGGTCATCAGACCCGCTTACCCATCGTCCTCACCCGCGCTGCCACCGCCGTCGACGTCCTGGGGATCGTGTGGATGCAGGAACAGCTCGACAGGATTCCCGCGCTTCACAACGCGGTAACCCCAGCCGTCGGATACGTAGAACGTCACCCGGGGCTTGCCGTTCGGGTCTACGTAGCCATAGCAACCGTATACCACGCCGTCAGGGCCCCGGTTCTCGTGGTGGAACTGTCCGCCCGGCCCCACCTCGTAGCCAAACTCGTACTCACCTGAACAGACACAACAGCCACCTGTAGCTCGTCACTTTATTGACAGATAGCTCTCAAGTGCCACTAAGAACAGGCGAGACGCCTGGCTTACTTGAGTTGAAGTTCTGCTGCAGATACTGTGTCTTCTCTTCGTTCTCTATGTTCACGATGACATGTTTGTGGTCTTCTGCGGTTCGGTGTCTCTTCGTTCGGACTGCGCTGACGGCGGATAGCAACGTCGCCGTCAACACCTGCGACAAAGCGGCAAGCAGTCACCTCAGCCGTTCGATATAACACCTTAGTCACTTCGGTCGTGGTAGTGGAATTATTGTCGTCTTTAATTAATTCAATTTGCCTCAAGAGAGTGATGTTGTTTCCACCGGAACTAAACTCACGCGGGATTAGCAGGAAGTGTTGTAGTTGTGTCCATATGCGTCGGAGGTCAACGCGTGGTAATAACAAATGCCAGCGGCTGATTGTGGTGCAGAATCGTCTGGTCTGTCAGCGTAGTGGATGTTTGACAGTATTTGGATCTCAGAGACGGGAGAAACTTGCGTCATGAGGAACTTTATGATTTTTTGCTTAGAATTTTTAGATCATGACTGATAATAAGGGAGGACATATGATGAGCATAAAGGAGGTAAAAATTTAATACAGAACGTCAGTTCGAAAGCCAGAAGGGTAGAGGCCACGTGAGAGATTTCGGTGTACTTGCGAGGATAATATTAAAATGGATTTTAAAGACGAAAGTTGTGAGGATGTGACCATGATTCACATTCATCAGGACTGGGTCCATATGCGAGCTGTTGTGAACACGGCAATGAACAATTGGGTTCGTAAAAGACGGGGAAGTTCTTAACCAGCTGTTGGTGTAGCAGCATCTGACAAGTGAATGTGCTCCACGGAGTCCGGTGCTGCTTAAGACACGTGTGTGACTGCGCTAATAACAAATGCTTTAAATTCTATGTCCAGTCAGAGACAAATAATTATCCTGTCATTCATAATCCAGTGATATTAATGACATTATTTTCGTGATTAATATGCCATTAATATCTTGATGTTCGCAAGTGTCAACCAGAAATTCCGGTTGGAAACAGGTTTAAACCGGTTGAAGATTTATACCGCTTATGTGTAATGTACAGTCACTGAACTGATTCGCATTTTGTATGTTGCAATGTTTAAAATTGTTTGTCTATAGGCCTATAATCTCCCTTTTAAACTAAATCTATTTTAATTTCAATCATGACGTAATTAAATTATTCTAACGATAATGCAGAATCCAACTGGTGAAGTTTCTTGTTAATTTTAAAGGATCTTACAATCAACACTAGCGTTCATTTTGTTGAGGTGTTAATTTCGGCCGTTCTGGCCAATCAGAGACGAAGTGGGCATTAGATCAGCCAAGTACACTGAAAATCACACAAAAGCTTCAGACACATTATTATCATGTACGGAATGGGGCAAGGATTCATTCATTTCTCTCTGCTCCCGTCGTGCTGAATTTGGCAGTGTTTTTAGACCACGCCCTCAAAAGAAGAACAAAAGCTAAGTATGTTAATGTAAGTCAAAGTAAGAGTGGCGAAGTCGCTAACACTTAGCGCCAAGCGGTTCTTATGCGAATTCTTGACAGAATGAAGTATGAATTGCAAAACGTTTTAGCACAGCCACGTCTAATTCAAACAGTCGAATTCTTACAGAGACTTTTCTGTAGCAGCCTATTATGACGCAGTTTTTAATAAATGCTAATGAAATGCGACGCCTACCTCGTGGTTCAAAAAGTATTCACTTTCTAATGCGTAACAGAAGTGGGAAGCTCTCGACTGACACGAGAAGCAGACCTCCGACATTTTTTGTTTAGTGGGCAATTTCGGCAAAATGAACATAAACTGTGGAATGTAATTATATACATTATATACAATAAAAGTATACCGATATTAATGTGAGAAATTCGTAAAAAAATAATGCAATTTACAACCTTGGGTAGTGTGTTTAAATTTATCTTCAAGTCCTTAACTAGAAACCATCCCCGTAACATACACGTCGGCAATCTTAGACAAAGTTGTTTTCATGCATGCGATGAACATCCTGTGACAATATGGATTTATAATAGGTTCATTTGGGAATATGGTAAGTTTTCGTTCATACTTTGTCTGGAAACAGATTTAATTGATTCGGCGTCCGGGAAAGGCTTAAAAGACGTTGTCTTATTTCAAAGTTCTCCGCGGGCAACATGCTTCCCGCGAGCTACAGGTTGGGCTTGCCCGTGTTAGCGTGTCCTTTAACTTAATCTCCGATCCAGCGAATATTCTGAGGTCTTGCGATTCGATCATGTGACCTTCTGACTGTGAGTCCTTAACGTGTTCAGAATAATTGCGATGGTGCGTATAAAAGTACACAGTGAACTCGTGTTCTACTTGTACCAGCGCTGACTATACGCAGTGGGCCTGGTCTCCGCCCTGAATCACTTCATTGGACGACGTGAACGGAATTTTCAAATGATCAATTGGAAGGCCAGTTGGCACCGACGTCTCCTTGTGTCGCCATGCTATCGAAAATACGAGGCATCTCTGCCCTGAAAATTCATCAGGACATTCCTTTTCTGTTCGCCGTTAATCACGTGTTGCAGCGTCAGGAAAACGTCGAAACTCTTGTGTCTGTCTTTTTTAATAGCAGCCCTGAAATTCCTTGCGGTAACAAGTTTTGTGTACGAAGGGCAAAACGAATTTGGAATTTTCAGCTCTACAGTTTTTGCAACAGTTGTGTATTACTGGGAAATTCACTTCACGTTGTATCGAATACCTTCGTTAACACTTTAATAAGAGTCCAGTGGTAACTATGTGTACCACCTGCTTCAAGAGTCAGTAATTTCACAAGAGCCCACTACTGGACCCTGTCTGCAGCCAGTTGAATCCACCTCACAATAAAATTGACCATTTGCTGTATTACTGATTTCCCAACTTGTTCGTGCTTACAGAACTCAGATCTGTTGGACTGACATTGAAGTTGCCTTTCGTCTACTTTACAGTTCTTAGGGGCTAACTGTTTACTGAAAGCGCATTCAGATTGTGTTACAAAATTTATGTTAAGGCCGCGTTACGTCACGTATAAAGGAATAAGTGAGCAGAACTTCGAAATTTGAGCTAAAAAGGCAGGCAGTTTCACAACAAACTGTTAAATACACGAAAATGGCGCCAACTCTTTTATTTGTCTCTTTAAGCTTAGTCATGGTTGTGAATGTTTCCCACAATATCAGCCGTGACATTTTTATTTACGAGATTTTCCTCGATTACCGAATGCCGATAAGGTAGAATTTGCCTTAAGAAAGTAGTAGTTAGTATTTTATGCTCACCCGAAGTATTTGTGTGTTGGGTCTCAGTAAATTAATTGAACGTCAGTTTGAAAGACATTTCCCGTAAAGAGAAATGTATTTAAAACAAATTAGTTCAGCCTTCAACATTTCCGCCACTTAAAACTTTCAATTTTCGAAGCGATGTGACCTTCCCTGCCGTTATGGACGTTTCGCTTAATACGCGGTTTTATTCCTGAAATTATTAACCAAGTGCCAACTGCAGCCTGATTCTTTGAACTCGCTCGCTCTCGACAAGATAATGGTCGCTGAGCTGGTTAACGAATTTCCCACCCCCCGTTTATGGAAAACGACGTTTCGGTACTGTGTTCGCTTTATTATGAGCGGCTTGAGTCCCCTTAACACTCTTTTTATTTGAGATTTTGTTGTACATTTTCCGTTCTGCCCATTGAAGAGGACCTCAGTAGAAATGTTTCGTTTTGCAACAGACATTCTGTCAGAAAGATTCAGTATGCGAGGTTGTCTGCGTCGGGAGCGCTAAGAGGCGTTGCCCCATGGACCGCAAGAGAGGGTGGAGGACAGTAACAGTTGGTATTACTGCACATAACCGGTTGTTTCAAAGCGGCGCCTAACCTTCCCGGAGGCAAATGACACACATTCCGCAAAAATATTTAGGAGGATCCGCTCTGTGCAGTCAAGACGTGATGCACTTTCGTGTTAAGTAACGCAGGAATGTGGATTCACTTTCGTAACGTGTGTGTGGCTTGGTTGTTAGCTAGCGCCAATAGTGGCCATTCTCGAAACTAATTCAAATTCTGCACTCGTAATTTCGTTTATTGGTGACTGTACTTCCTTACCCAATAGGAATTGCTGCTTAAAGAAGTAATAAGTGCCTTCCCAGCGACTGGGTTCATTATTTGTAGTCTCCACCAAATCTTTCGGTTTTAAAGTTTGGGAATTTTGGACAGCTGGGACTCGGGTGAGATGAGAAGAGAATCTTATACGAAGGGGTTGACTCAGTTGAAGTAGCTCTGAACAGAGTTCGGTGGCTGCGTGTTGTATAAACGGAAGGGGCTGTGATCGCTCTACGACGTTTTCCTATTTTACCACGTGCAGAACGCAGCTGAGTCCACTGAAGTTCGTTCATGGGAATTTTAACGCTAATTTAAAATTTTACACGTGGCACTCACGTTGCCCGACCCTTTTTGAAACATTAAATCCGAACGAAACGCAGAGCTAAAGTTTTTTGTTGTTGTAATCAGTTGATTAATTTAAAAGTTTGCGGGGTTCAACTTAAAACTGTACGCTGCCTGAGACGCGCTTTGGATCCTGGTTTGTCCCCCTGATAAATGAAATGTTGGCATTCTCCGGGCAGACGCGGAACTGCCATTCAACGGAGACCTGCAGCTCATATCGAGGAGAAATGGCAGGAGACATTGAACCTTCTAGATGTACAGGGACTTTGAAGATTACGTGTCAGATCAGAAAGCAATGAAATGCGTCTTACGTCGCCAGGAAAGGAATGTTGCTTTTGCGTTATCAGATTCCAGCTTGCAAGCAAAGACTGACTAAGGGAACTGGTCTTCGCGGTTGCTCCGTGTAGTCGGGCAGAAGTTTATCGACGTTTCGTATGTCCTTGCTGCCTCCATCATCAGGGCGATATTCATTTGTAACAGCACGAGAAGGGGGTGTAATATTTTTAGAAATGTTGATCAGACTAAATGGCAACAAATGCATGATTTCTTAGAGTCTGTTCAATATTCTTCTCTTTCGTATTGTATTAGTAACGGGAACTTCTTGCTTATGGAAATATCCGAACTTTTTGCAATTGCTAATTAAAATGCAAATACGGTTTCACACTTCATAAATTACGGCTCGCGTGGAAAACCTGATCCGCTGTTCGGAAGTGGTCAGATGTCAGCCCGTTGTATTAGAGAATGTGTTTGTACATATTTACTTGTGTTGGCTTTAGAACAGCTCAGACGTTTACATTATAATGTTGACACAGTGTAGAAGCTGTTTGACGTGTGAACTTAAGGCGTATTATCCCAGTAAATGCCCCGTGGACATAAGTCCCTGCCGCCTGCGTAAGTACGCACAAGCAAGTGCCAAGTTTCGTTCAATGTCGCTGGCACTTACTGTAAACTGCTTCTGATTAACTCCATGAAACACGGTCCTCTTGTGAAGCTGGTACTCTCGTGAAATCCCGCGCCTTTTATAGAATCCGAAATTTCATTCCTGTGTTCGCAAGAGACCTCTAGGAGGCCCCGGCTCTAGTCGTTTGCCTAATCCACATCCTTATTGTTCAGTATCATCATTCCATCTGCATATTGGTCTTCCAAATACTCTCTTCCCTCTGGGTTTTCTGACTACATAAAGTGTTACGTCACTGCCTCATGTCCCAGATTCTTGCTACGTTTCCCTCCTATCTCATCTTCCTAGATCTGATCAATCTTATAATATTGACACTAAATCATCGTCTGCATCGGAATCTAACTGTGGAGTGCATTTGAATCTCCGTTTCACGTGCGCCACTTTTTAGTCAGGACGACAAATAATGGCGAAACATTATTTTTGTCATAATTTCAACGCCAGAACGAGCAGAAAACTTCCTTTTTTATTTTGTGAAGGGCGACAGAAAATTTTATTACTCAGAATCCATGAATATAAATTAAAGTATTTGCTCCTTCGTGTTAACTGCTGGAGCCAGCACAATAGCGGGTTTGCTAAGTGGTACTGGTCATTGTACGGACGACTGCGATTGGTGCATTCCATATTGTGAAACGCAAATGCATTTTTCTTGTTCGCCCGGTCCTTAAAACATCTGTGTTAAAATTATCTGCTCAGCATAGCGTTTAAAATGGAATCTTTTATTTTATTAGTGCTATTAACTAAGTTTAAAATTTACCAACTTCGTATCATAGTACAGCACATCATAATTCTTTCTAGATCACCACATTCCTTCGGGAACTGCTCCCATATTCCTGTCTGGTTCTGGACCAAGTGTTTCGACGCTTTGGCGCTGTTTTCAGAGTTATATTATTATAAAAGTCTTAAGAAATTGCCAGGAGATTTTTTCAAATTGGATAACGGAGGAACGGGTGTCTGTAATTGACCGATGCAAGGTTTTTCTATCCCAAACCAGTTTTCGACTTTCCGGGTGTGTCCCTTGTTCTTAAGGCACAGTGCTCCGAAGGCGCACACGCCCGCGTGCTTCATAATGGCTGTGGAGAGGCAACCAACCAACAACCTACCTGTTATTTGCGTGAGGTGAATGATTACAGCGTTACGCCATCTGACAGTTTCGCCTTTGAATACATCTCATGACCCTGCTCTGACGCACGTCACTGCGATGTGCGAAGAAACAGGGCCCATAATTTCTGCTCTCACTTTCCATCGTCACATTAATTCTGCTTTCACGCTTCTCGCCGAAGCCCGTTCGGTTGGACGTCCGTTTTCTCAACATCGAACGGTCTGAACGCGTGGCTCGTAAAATATCAAATCAAATTATGGTCCCGTTTCATCGTTCAACGTGTTCAAGATGGATATGCGAAAACGCGGATAACGAAAGCGCTTGTAACGAGAGTCACCTGTAATTTGTTTTATTTTGAATTGTTCACCAAGCTTCAACGCGAGACATTCGAAACAGAATTTATTTCTTTGAGCCAAACAAATGGCGATGGAAGATCGGGTAATTGAACGCGTCGGACTTGTGTCAGAAGACGCTCGTTTCGCGTCTCAGTCGACAGTCGCGAGAAACTGAAGTCAGGATAGCTGGTAACTTAGCCGGGATATGAACCCATTACTCTCCAAATACCGCGTAGGATTTCCAGCCACTTGACTGGGACTTTCGGTATGAGAAATTGGCAGTGGGAAGCTTCAGCGTGGTTAAGTAGTTCGGAATATGCAGAGGCAAAGGCCAGGAACCGGGAAGGAGACTGTGCGATGTTTGGTGAATCAATTGTGTTCCGCAGCATCCTTAACTGCTGGCCTTCTGAACAGGATTTACGGCCTTGCAAGGATCTTGCGCAGTGCGATGCAAACCATCGGTGTCGTGACGAGCTCGAATCGAACCGTGGTCTTATCGTGTCCGTCTGTGATCATTAGCTGCAACAGCTGAAGGTCAGCTGTTCGAAGTGCCTCATCCTCTGACGAGTGAAAGTTGTTAAACGTTCCGCCGATGCCAACGCTGTTAAAAAGGCTGGCGAGAGACCCAGCTGTTGCATCAGAGCCCAAACTGAAGATGGCCCTGTCTCGCAGAACGAGCGATGAAACAGATTTAAATCGTGGCCGAGACAGACAATGGATTCAATAGATTTAGCCCACGCAGGTCCTTTCTAAGTCTCGCCATATTTAGTCAAGAGAATTATCTCTCGTTTGTAGAGTCTGGTGTCCCGAAAGACAGATTAAGCGTTTCAGAAACATTTGATGTGCCAGTGAGATTATTTCTGCAATGTACTTTATACCACTTTGTATCTTAAAGTTAGATTCACTTTAGATAAAAATCTGAATTTTCGTATAATCTTACAGTTTACTTCAATTAAAGGTCAGGCGTAATTCGTTCAGTTGGTAACACATCGTCCTTAATGGCCGGTATTGAATCCGAAATATTCTACCGGGCATTTGCTATAGTTACGCTAATGTTAAATTACGCGTCATCACGTGTTGTGAAGTTACTTGTTTTAAGGCGGTGTCAAGAAGTTAACGGTCTGCGTCCACAAAATCGCGTGGCCTTTGCGTCTTTCACAAAATTCAGTGCAGATAAGGAGCTGTGATATTATTAAAATGAAACAAGTTTTACTCACGTAGCACAGAACGATGCGGGGTGTCTTCATTATGGCCGCTTCACACTCGCTTCTTGTCGATTAAAGATCCGATCACTGAAATAATATCGTCATAGTTCCCTCGGAGGATACTGGACCACCACCCGCAGCTTCCCTGAGATGAGAAGGACGGGGTTCAATATCACCGCTAGTCAACCCAATACTGAAACATCTTCCATGTGGTCCCCGACTTCTTATAAAGGAGGCCAAGTCCTCCTCCTCTTCTCTTCTCTTCTCTTCTGCATCGACGTCTGATGCCTCCTCTTTCTCTCCCTTTCTTTTGTCCGTGTCTTCACTGTCAGTGCCAACTTGCCCATTGGGGGGGGGGGAGCCTCTGTGTATAGGCTGCGGAGATTCTGCGCCTATAAGGTTAGAAAATCAAGTACAAGATTAAAAGTTTAGTTGTTCTCCCCCCCCCCCCCCCCCCCCACACACCTGAAGAGATACCGACGCTAGATTACAGGGGTGACCACCTGCAGTTCGCCTGTCTGATGTGGCTCCACTATTTAAATTGCAGAGTCAGGAGACCCGGGTTGCTTGTTTAACGATTACTGAGGACTCGCACGGCTGATGCGTTGTGGCTAGCTTTTGTTTGACTGAGGTCTGCCACTATCCGCCAGGCAAACACTTCGGATTTGTCATGGTTTCATCATTTTACGTTCTTCCCAATCATCTTGCCCGTATAACCGATGTAGTTAAGAGAACGTTGGCAAACAAACAATGTACAGTACGATGCGGCGTATTATTATTGTGGATTAAGGTAAGCTACCGTCGGATTGGTTGATTTACCCCTTTGTTTCTTTGTAATAATTGCCACTTCGCTCAGAGGTCGTGTCAGGATGTGTTCGCCGAAGGATGGTCCACGTGAGTTTAGGGCGACTGGGTTCAGTGACTTGGCACGGATTGCGTGATTTATAATTAAATGCTTTTGTATCGTCGTTTACCCCAGGTTCATGACGATATGGACACCCCTTACGCCAGCGACAAGTAGCCCAGTCGTAAGGGAGGGTAGGAGTGACTTCAATGCACGTATATTACTCCGCGGATGGGGACTCTTTCTTTCGTTTTGCTTTCTTGTGTGACAGACGTTAGAATGTGCTGGTGGGGCCCTCACACGGCTTCTGGAAATTACGTCCAGTAAGAATTTCTTGGTAAACTGGGAAATACGAGCATAAAACTGTCTTGGTAAATAAGCAGGTTTATTTCAGAACAGTTTACTAAATTATAATTTTACATGTCATGCCGCGTGGGAATGAAATTTTGTTTCTTACGTTAAGGGGAAAACGCAGGCTTAGGGGAATATTTAGGACCTAAGAGGGAGGAAGATGCAGGAAGCTGGAGAATATTACATGACGAAGAGCCCAATAATTTGCACTGTTATCCTAACAGGCTTATTATGATGATCAAGTGGAGGATCACACGATGGGTGGTGCAAAGAGCACGCATGGGGTAGATGACAAATGTGTTTAGAAATATTGGTTGAAAGGCTGGACGGAAGAGACCACTTGGAAGACCTGGAAGTAGGTGGACGTACATATTGATTTCGAAAGGTTGAGGACTCGATTGATCTGGCTACCGATAGGGGCACTGTATTGCGACTGAGGTAAAATTTCACTCGCGGATTATTAATTATCCTGCGTAATGGTAAGTGCGTTCTTAGTCAAGAGTAGGAACTGAAGGGGGCGTGGCGATTCCTTTGATTTCCGTCCTTGCGAGGAGCTGACAGTGGCTCAGCTGATCGGGATATTTATGGAACCCCAAGGTTCATTAACGTATTTTTTGTAGACTTGGCACCGGACCGTACCTTGTGCCAGTCCTCACCCTCACACACCATTTATTTTAAATTAATTTAATATTATCGTCCCATTTATGCCTAGGTCTACCGAGTGTTTCCTTTCCCATCGGGCTTCCTGGCCAAAATATTGTATGTGTTTCTCGTCGCACTGCATGCTACACATCTCACCCGTCTCATCCTTCCGTATTAGATTGGATGAGTCCAAAACCACCTTTGATCATTCACGTGTGAGTCGCTTTCGTCTCTTCGTTTGTTCTTTTTGACTTGATTATTTCCGCTATCTATTTTCGCTTCATTAAGTTACATTTGTATGCAGGGCAGCGCTGTAGTGCGCGTCGTGTGGATACATTCAGGACACGGCACGAAGCCGCTCTGTTGCAAGGGAAATCCACATTCCCGAAGTCAGCGTCTGCCTGAAGGATGAAGGGCAGTGTGCGTGTGTATGC